AAGGCGAATGTAACCGAGCTCGGCATAGAATCATTCGAATCACCCGAATTTTCATTCGATTTTACGCCACCAAATGCAATTACATGGAACACAAGCGGCGGAGCTATAAAAATTGATGGCAGCTGGAATGCTCATTACGAACTTATCGTACCGGTCAGTTCTTTCCCCAAAGTACATTGCATATCGTATACGCTGCGTTTGCGGTTTTAACGATGACGATAATGATAACGATCATGATGATGATGATATATGCCGATAACCATCATAATGTAACTGGTTTGATAATGATGGCAGTGATAATTCTGATGATATGTGTTGAAAGATTCGAATGCATGCGATGGGTTGTGGAAGCTAAAAAACATAGGAACGATAACAGTACGGAGATGCAGTCGAAAACAGTGCCTGATAATAAAAAAGGGCGCGTGTGAATGCTGATTTTGAATTCTCTGGATTTCAGATTTTCGGGACACCTTCGGCTAAAAATTTCAGTTTCAAAGTTTTCCTGGTTCCCGAGTTAGCAATTCACTCCTCGATCTGGCTTGTTGTTTGATTGAACTGAACTGTGCTGAAGCATTGTTATCCGTCAGCGCTAATGCGGCTAGCTGGATGCTCGTTTCTGTGCTAGCTTTGTTAAGTTCAGACATGTTAGCCCCCTTTAGCACAATAAGTGACAAAACCTGAAAAATGCAATGTTACAGGTCAACCTGTCAGGCCACGTAGAAGTGACGGTGGAAGATATGAATGTGCTTGTGCAAACCAATTTGCGAGTCCGTGATAGGCGAACTAAGATCGAAGTCACTAACTGCACGTTGGATGTGAAATATATTGACGTGGAAGTTCATGGCGGCATCATGATTTGGATTGCTAATTTGTTCCGAGTGCAGTTAGCTACTGCCATCAAAAGTTCTTTACAACAAGCGGTCAGCCAATTTTTTCATGCTTTTTTGTGAGTTTTTGCATATGTGCAAATGCAAAAACGCACATTGTGACGATCCACGGTGTGCGTATGTGCACGTTCGTGTGTGCGTGCGTGTATGTATGTTATGTATATGTGTCCGTCTAGGTATTTCAACTCGGCAACCACGTAAGCTCCGGCACCAAAATTTTGCTAGCGGGTTCCCCAGCTAAGTGCCGCCCTAGCACCGCAGTACCACCTCTCACACACGTCTAGGCCCCGCACACGACCACGTGAACGTTGGAAGGAGAACTGCTAACTTGGGAACCAGAAAAGCTGGAAGGCCGAAATTTTCAGGAGATGTTCCTGATTCAAGTAGAACTCAAAAATTTCGAATTCGGCCTTGGATGTGCGTGGTTCTCTTGTATGGTCTTGTGAAAGTTTTTGGCGGAAAAATCACTCACTCGGGAGCCAGGAAAGCTCGAAAGTTGAAACCTTAGAATGTTTCCTGTCCCAAAACCACATCAGTTATTCAATTAAGTTGCTGAAATTCGAGGATCAGTGTGTAACAAATTCTAGCTACTGAGATTCGAAGCAATCTTACTACAGTACGAAATACTGAAAAACGTATGATCGCATGGGCCAGCCTGGTCCATGTCGCCAGTGATCTCGATGAAAACAGTTTTTGAGTATCTGCTACAGTTAACGTCCTTTCGCTTTTTCGGTCGCCCTCATCCATTTGTTCAGGATGTGTAACAACTTCAGGAAAGAAGGACGAAAGAGCGACTGGAAGTGGGAAAGCAGGAGAAATAGAAGGGAGGGGACACATACCGGCATCAATTTTCCATCGAAATAAATGAACGGATCGTAGCAGGGAGTGGAACTCGAACTCCCCGCTACGATGCTTCTTTCGATTACACCTTTTCCATCAATATTTCTGATAAACAGAGGTATTTCAGTTTTGTGGCATCGTCCAAACTGCGATTGTCGGTAACATTAACACTGCTATATCGGCGCTTCTAGACGTGATCGGTTAATCAACAAACTCTTCATCAGTTACTCATGCAGGGTATATCGTTGTTCATTTTTTTTTCTGTATTTTAAAGAGCTTTACTTACCTAATTTTTCGATAATTCGAATCGTATGCTTGTTCTGAATAAGGCCTAAGCCAAGTCATTTGGTTCATTGGAGAGCGTAAGCTCTGAACAGTTCAAATACATTTCTATTCTTAAATCTACCGGTTTTCGCACCTTTTTGATCATAGTTAAAACATTTTTATAGCTAAAATTATTGCAAAGTCAACGAAGAAAGGAATTACGATGCAAACAAGCGATCTTTTAGCTTGTAACCGTGATCAAATGACGACGTTTGCAACGAGGAATGAATTTTTTTTTGTTTCAACACAATAAAATGAGCAACGCAATGTCAATGTAATTTCATCAACACAAATACAAACATCAGAGCCAAAACACCCCTACAATTGCCGAGATCCTGTGTATGTGTTTAAGATGTGTTTAGGGTATATTTTATCCTTGCTTCAGCTCTTTCGTGCCCATGTTTCCTGCAAATTTAAATTTGGCTAGGTTTCATGTACGACCACGTAATGTTTTGTCGAAAAAATCATTAATCTTGCAAACCAAAAAAAAAAAAACAGGAAGATGAAATTTTATGTAGATGTTTCATGCGTGTGTGTGTGTGTGTGTGTGTGTGTGTGTGCCTGTGCGTCTAAAGATTTTAAATTCAATCTCCAAATAAGGCGTCTTGTCTCACATAGTGAAGACGGGAAATTTCACATGTGAAATTTTTAGCGTGGGACTCAGCAAAGGTAGAAATCTAAAATTGTCAAAAGATATTTTCTGTTTGTGAACAGTTCAGCTGGCAAGAATCTTGTTTACAGATCAAGTGGGCACATTAAATTTACTATGGGAATTTTGTAGCCCGAAAACTTGACAACATTTCGATTATTTTTGCACGTAACAAACTGTAAAGCAGTGTGATCAGAATTGTGGAGGGGTGATTTTTAGGCATTCTCTCGTCTCGTTTTTTCAGCGTTTTTCAGAAAGTACTGACTTTTTTTTTCTTCATAAGTGAAAATAGTTTCATGTAGGTGCGCACTCAGTCCCGTGGATGGCTCCTATTTGGTTTGTCCATATTGCACAATGAATTGTCTCCCCGTGCACTGCATGACAATCTAGCTTTGAATTTTGCCAATAGACAAAGATACTGCCAGTGTTCAGTTTGTCACCTTTTCACAAATCGAGCGCATGGTATTTTTGGCTCTTTTTTATGCGTTTTGTGATGTGTAACAGCAGCACAAAACGCATATTGTCACGGAGTTGTCTGTGTGTGTGTGTGTGTGTGTGTGTGTGTCCGCAGCAACTTCTCTGCAACTTTCAACTCGGGAACCATAAAAGCTAGGAAGCTGAAAATTTAGGGCAACGTCCCCCACCCACGTGTGATCCTGCAGATTTAAATTCAGCCTCCCCGTACTGGCGGGTAGCACGTACGGCCCCGTAAAAGTTTAGGCGGGTAAAATTATTATCGTGGGAACTACAGAAGCTAGAGGGCTGAAATTTTGTGGGCATGTCCCCTGCCTACACGCGACCCAGAAAATTTAAATTCAGCTTTCTCCTGCCCACGGGTAACGTGTACGGCCTCGTGAAAATTTTTGACAGGTGAATTAGTATCTCGGGAACCACGGAGTCTAGGAAGCTGAAATTTTAGTGTAATGACCCCCTTCCCACGTTCGACCTTGCCTATTCAAACTCAGTGTTTCCTCGCTCTCGGGTATCACCTACGACCTCGTGGAAATTTTTGCGAGGAAATTATTATCTCGGGAACCATAAAAGCTAGGAAGCTGAAATTTTACGGTAACGTCTTTTGTCCACATACGATCTTTAATTTTAAATAATAATAATTTTCCCCGCCGAAACTCCCACGGGGGGGGGAGGAGTTTCGGCGGGGAAAATTATTATTCCGGGGACCGCGGAAATTGAGAAACTGAAATTTTAAGATGATCTCCTCTACAAACGTACGACCTCGCAAATTTGAACTCAGCTTTCGCGCACACCTGGGTACCACGTATAGACCCGTAAAAGTTTTGATAGAGAAGTCATTATCTCGTGTGCGTGAAGTGTTTAGTGGGAAATTCCGCAACTTAAGAATCAGACAACATTTCAACTATTTTTGCTCAGAATATAGTGCAAAGCAGTGAAAAATCATTAGTAGGCAATCGTTCGGTGAAGGGAATTGCACAAAACGCATGGTCGCACCGGCTACCTTGTTGCGCGCCGCTATTTATCTATCATTGTGCTGAAACTGTGCCGACTGGCACTGTGATTCTTGTTTTTACAGAATAGGAAGGCAGCTGATTTTGAAGGAATAGGAAGGCAAGCCCCGGAACCATCATTGTCTTCTGAGAACACAAGCTTGGTTTATCGCGTTCCTGAATTCCTATATCAGAAGGTATGTTTTTTTTTAAATCAAATTACCATGATTTCAATTCGTGGAAGAACCAGTTTTCAAAATAATGGTAAAAGTGCCTTTGTTTGCTGATAAGCATCAAACTTGCTGTTGATGAGAGAGAGGTTTGTAAGCTGGATGCTCAGCAGTCTGTTCACTGATTTAAGCAGCTAGAGGACTGGAACTTTTTTGAGCGTAACCGACGGTAGCCTTTGACTAGAAGGACGTAAAAACGACTTTCACGTCTCCTTCACATCTTACGTACGTTTTATGTACATTTAAGATCTCCTCCACACGCGCTTAGGTCCCGCGCACAGACCCTTGAAAAAAATATGTAAATTTCTTTGGCGGGAAATGATTTTGCGAACCAGTAAGTTACAAAGTTGAAACTTTGTAGGGATATTCTCTGTGCATGTGCGAGCTAAAGTTTTCAAACTCATCTGTCGCGCATGTTTGTTAAGTGCGTACGATTACGTCAAAGTTTACAACTTGGTACTGTGCTAACTCGAAAACTTGCCGGAAAACAGT